CAACGTTGACAATAATCACTACTTCAAATTTCTTTCATAATTGGATGAGACGATAAACAACACGGCAGATTGCTTTCATGCATCAAAGTAACATCACTTTGAAATACAACTGTTGAGACGTTTGAACTAAGATTAGCAAAATACAGACAGGCGACAAATTAAAGGAAATTAATTTTGCAAATAATGATCAATAATGTAATTATTGATTAATCTTGTAATTACCGTCACAATTAATCTTTATCATTCTTTTGGTCTTTTCAGAAAGACACTCGTTGAGCAGGTGCTTTGTCAGAAATACAACAGAAGAGAAAAAGGTGTATGTGTTACAGTGCAGCCAAACAAACTTGATTTGTCAATAGTTGTCCTTTTTCTGTCTTTCCATGGCCAAACTGGTAGTTTTCTACACAGCAGAATGGCACAGAGAAAGGTGCTACCATGGTGGGGAGAGGGAGGTATCACCCTGTCACCTGAGGCGCTTCATCGAACAGTTTACTCTCTGGATCGATTACTCATTACTCTATTTTCAAGTGGTCGAAGAGTCGATCAAAAAGTGCCAAAAATGACTGTTGTTGGTGACCAATATGTTTTGGAACAAAGCCACACCTTTTATCAAGCTGAATGCTTTTAATATGAAGGAGTAGCATTAAGTTAATGCAGGAGTTTGAACAATAGGGTTGAAATCAGTGAGTCTTAATTATAAACAGTAACACTGGATTACAGGCTGCGTCGATTCCAGACCTTGTGTGTAGGTAGGCAACCTAAATATGTTTTAGTTTCAAAAAGCATCTCTTTTGCTACGTTTGTGTCTGGCGTCCACACTCCAGACTTTTCCAGCCCCTAAAACTGAAACTTTTGGAAACGCTACTGGCCCCATTTTAGTTTGAAAACTCTGGGATTACGTTTTAGTCTGGATGGGCAGAAACATGGATAATGAATTCCAAGCCTTGTTGACCTTGCTGGTTTTGCTAGCAGCTGTTGTGCAGTTACATTATGCATTTCAAGGCTACAACCGACACGTGCAAACCCAGTGCACGTGAATTATCATGTGATATGTGATAGTATGAACAGAGATTTTTTTCTCCATCCGTAAACGGTATGTATTAGCCTGAATCCAGCGCAGGACTCTGCCACTAACAATGAAAACTATTATACAGAGACATAATTACAGTATGTAAAGACGCCAAATGGCTATTTCGTGAAAATACTGAGGTTGATAACAGAGTTAAGATGACTCAACATGCCTGGTGTTGTGCCAAAATGTGTACTCCTTAAAAAAATCTGTTGTTTCCTGGCTCTATGTTTTTGTTTACCACTGCTGTCTGTTGCTGTGTTGGCACTATATAACATTACTATGGGGAAGATGCCCTCAAGCCTAACAACGCTGCAAAATCAGTGGGGAGCTGCTGTTTAAGATAATGAAATCATAAACAATAGCAATATCTGCTTTTTATATAACTAAGCAGGTTACTTTGTGAAAACTAATTCTTGTCCTTTTATCTTCTGGTGTGAAACTGAGGCAAAGATGCCAGGGAAAGCTGTTTTATTCTGAACAGGAAACAAGTTGTGGGATTCGTAATAACACATAAACATACACACACACCTACACATTTTCACACACTGACACACTGGTGTGTCAGCCAGGTGATATCTCTCTTCCCCTGTGTCTCCATCCATTATCAGGTCATTATCAGGGCAGAACTAATCAGCTTATTATTTTCTACTATTTGACCTTCAGTGGTGGAGTTGCTGTTCTCCCTCATTAGGGCTGGTTAGATGTAGCCTCAGGCAAGTGTACACTTACCTGTGAGAGGGAGTTTGTCTGAGAGACAGACACCATAGATATTTTTTATGTTCACAAACAGACAGAGAGTTTCCTTCTCTCCTGGTAAACACTTTACAATGGCTGACCCTCTTGAGATTCCCCTCAGCACACTGATATATTCGCTCACATCTGTGTGTGTGATTGTGCATGTTTTAAAATTATTCACAAGTCAATCTTGGCCAGAAAAAAATGAAAAATACTGTATGTCTTTATACTCCTGTGTGTCAGTGTATGGACACACAAACACTGTTCAGTGTCCACGTGTGTGAAGCCTAGATAGTTGAGAGAAGTCTCAGTCTACACACTGCAGCTGCTGTAATTTGCTTTCATTAAATAAAGTGGCTTTAATTAATTCTGGTTTGATTAAATTCCAATTTGGGTTGATTATGGAAAAAAATAAAACTAAGCACATTAAAACAATAATGCATGATGTGAGACCAGAGTCAAAAAGTTATTTCAACACAGCAATTTCCATTACAAATCTTTTCATTATGAATTAATATTGATTTTTTTAAATGAATGCATTAATTATTCAGTCAATAAAATTTTAGAAATTTGTAAAAATAAATAAATGAAAAAAGAGTTGACAGAGCCTATTAGAGCTTTCAGACAGAATGTGACAAAGACAACAATACACTCTGAAACCCATTATTTCCCATGGCTTGCGCTTGCGCGATGGTTCGGTTTGGTTCGGCGAGCTCATGCGCGCAGTCAAACGAACACTTGCGCAGCTAATAGAAATACGGCATCCAGCCTGGCACGAGATGTAAACGATCGCTGTGGAAACTGAACTCCTTCACAAGCCTGAATTCCCGAAGCTCCTTTTTGTACTTGAGGGCACCCACACCTTCTTCCTTGTTGCTCCCCTTCTTCTTCTTCTTCTTCTTCTTAGCGAGGCTAATGCTAAGGCTTGCTTCTTTGCAGGATAAAGACAGGTCTTTGCTGCTGGCAACGAGAACACAGTGGGAGCTGAGCCCAACTCGGAGTGATGTGTCCTGCTAAAAGTTTGGAAAACTCTGTGTATGTTCACCTGAACAGTGCGCTGACGAGTGAAGCGCAAATCGTGTTCTGTCTGAAAGCCCAATAGGCCGACGTCTTCAAATCTCATTTGGTCCCATCAACAAAGATATCTATGATATGTAACAGAGAAACTCAACAAATCCTCTCTTTTTAAACCGGAGGACATTTGGCATTTTGCTTGAAAAGGGATGTTAAACATCTCAGATTGTTTCATCCGAAAAACTGTATTACTGTTGCAGGCCTGAAGAAGTAGAACTATCCAGCATTTCACAAGAAAAGAATTAGTTCTGTGCAGCAGATTAAGCAGTTTCCTCTTCTTTCCTGTCACATTATTATTCTTGCAACACTTCAGATTTAACTTGTGACCACTGTAGTGTGCCATCCTTCAGATGGAAACCACAGATTTAAATGGTTAATCATTTAGAAAAATTTTAGATGAATTTTCTGTCCATTGCTCAAATAATCATTTAACAGCAGGAATAAACAAAAGCAACAGCAGCACAGAAAGTTAAACTCACAAGAAAAAGAAGCTTAAAGGAAACAAAAAGAAGTCAGTGGAAACTAATTTAGATGCTGTGTGAGAGCGAACAGTTACAGCGTCTCAGACAAGTTAGGGACCACTGGGGAAACCTTGCTAAATGGCAATAGAGCCCAAGGTCAGAAAGAAGCTCCTCTGGACAGCACATACGATATATATAAAATGTAAGATATAAAATATCCTACATTATGTTAAAAAAAAAAAAAAAAAAAAACTCATTTCATGTGCAAAAAGCATTTTGGACTCGTTTAAAAAACAAAATCCAGCGGACGGTGACCTCTGACATCATCAAGGTATAATTGATGGCATTTATGTCTGGGCACGCTCTTTCTGAATGTGTGAGCTGTCAGCTATAGCAGCAGTCTGCCTAACGTCGTTCAGGTCAGGACAGGGGAACAGCTAAGTTCAGTGTGAGCTGGCAGTTTAATCAGGACCTCCGGCATCTCTGGAAGCCGTGAGACTTCAGTATTTAACTGTTCGGGACACTTCTGGGTCAGGAGTATGGCGGAGTGTGCATGAGAAACGGGGTGTGCTGAGCTTTAAAATTGCAGTTTCTAGTCTCGAGGCTTTTTGCGAGCAGGCTGATAAACTCCATTGTGTGTGCGTGTGTGTATGTGTGTTGATCTGGGTCATAAGCCTGAAGCTATTGCTGTTACCAGTCACTTCTTTACTGCAGCCACTGATTGGTGATTGATGCCAGGTGAGCTCTGTACCACTGCAACTTTACACACCCAGTAAAGCAGCTAGTAGATGTGGCACCCATGGGATGTTTGGGTCCACCCAAGTGTGTCATATTCTGATGGAGACTAGATGAATTTGTTTATTTTTATATTTTTTATCTTTAAATCTTAATATAATAATATCTTAATATTTCATAACATAATATAAATATATTTGTATTTGAGCACAATGTCCGGCTGATTACAGTAATACACATGTTTATGGGTTTTGATGTGAGGGACGTATCTATATTGTTGAGCACACTGTAGAAACTAATTTCTACCTTGGGAACCATACAGTCTATTTATCTACCACAACCAGTGCTCACATTATTCTACAAATGTAAATGAGATGAGGGTGAGTCGGGTGAGACGCTGCTGCCATTGCTCTAATTCTCGAAGACGAGCAGCAGCCGGTGTAGTTCCCAAGGCAACAAATACTCAAGGTTAAAGTTCCACTTGTTATGGTAATGACCATTTCACTATGTGCAGGTGTTGGTTGAATTGTAATCTTACTGAGAAAAAAGGAATTTACAAATGATGAAATACATCTCTTACAAAAGCCATACAGGAAGATGTATAGTTCATAAGTCTTTTTAATAGTTAGTATAAGTTAGTTTTTATAATTTGGCAGTACTCAATTATAGCTTGTGTGTGTTGCCTGTGAGTAGTGTGATATTTTAATTACTGCATGTTTCAAAGTTAAACGTTCAAAGTTTACCATGCTCGAGCTGTGGCCACCCATTACAGTTGAGTACCCGTCATGGCCAGAGTCGACCTCTTTATACTGATCCTTTAAACCTTTATAAAGTCTTGAACCTTTTTTTGTTGGTTATACATTTAAGATACAACAGTTTCAAATGCACCAATGGGTGTGTTTGTGTGTGCATGAGAAACGCACCTGTGCTACAGCCACTTGCGTCTGCTGCTGTTGCTGCTGGAGCTGCTGCTGGAGCAGTTGGATCTGGTGGTGGACAGACAGGGGGGCACCTGGTGGCAGTGCGCCCGATGCAGGGAGCAGCATCCTGGGGCTCGACATCAGCAGAGAGGCCTCCTCTGAAGCCTGATGCCAGGGACAGAGAGAGAGAGAGAGAAATGAAGTCAATACAAGGTGGCCCTAAAATGACTAAGACATGCTGACAAAGATTCAAACAGGACAGAAATGAAGCACATTTGAAACTTTAATTATCAATTCATGTCACAGCGGAAAAGCTTGCAAATCAACATTTTAGACTATTATATAAACTACAATTACTGCTTCACGGTTGTATGCTGTCACCACTCAGATGGGTTTCAGAATGCATCAGATCAAATTTGAAGGGCTTCCCTAGAAGAGTTCTCAAGATATTGCGTTCACAAGGCCAAAATCATGTTTTGTGAGGTCATCCTGACCATGACCTTTGACCTTTAGCCACCAAAATCGAATCAGAGTCCAGGTGAACATTTGTACCGAATTTGAAGAAATTACGTCAAGGTGCTACTGAGATATCGTGAGGGGTAATTACTGTCTTGAAAGAAATAATATTGCACAATATCTTTCAACCTTATTTTTAATAATATCCTTTATTATCAAAAGGTTATAAAAGGCATCTACAGAAACTACTATTCAAAACAAGAGTCAGTTTTCAAAACTTGAGTTCACAAAAAGTTACAAGATTCAGGATGCAAATACACAGACAAAAAAACACAGAAAAGAAATCACTAATGAATATATAATCAGAACAAGCAATGGCATCAATAAAATGCCCTAGAGAACAAGACATCATCAAAACAAGAATCTGAATTTGAAATGTAGAATTGCTGATTAGTCACACTAGTGTGGAATGAGCAGCGCTGAGAATGCAGATCAGCCGCCACTGAAACGCTCCGCTACAACAATAATGAGCTCTGAGACTCAGCTCTCCTTCATCTGATGCCATCACGGATCTAATTGTTTCAGGGCTCTGGTAACCAATGACACATTGTGCATCATTCTACCAGTCATAAATATATATTTAATTTTTTTTTGTTATGCAGACATGGTGTATTGATCACTGTGTGGCTAGAAAAAAGCATCAGCACCATTTGGTATTTGAGGACAATGATAAGATCCAAACTAGCAACATCTTAGAGTGGGGGAAAGTGGGGAAGTGCTCCAGTGTGGACAATCAGATGTTATTTCCTTCTACTTCCTGCCATTTGACTTTCCTCCTTAATCCCTCCATCTGATTTGAAAAGAGTGCATGGAGAAAAAATAAAATCACTCATCTAACCTTCCAGCAATGCATCCCTTTGACTGGTGTCCAATCAAACACAACTGGTGATGCAGGATGTGTGATGGGACCTTGGGGTAAAGCGGGAGGTGAACTATCATGTTACGCCCCAGTCCTATCTAAAAAGTGGCTGACACAGGTTGGGTGTCATGCCGCACCCATCCACATGAACGATTTCCAGTCCCACAGGTGAGACTGAATGGATTATGGAAATCCGTGTAGGATAATATACCTTCATAGTTATGTTTGGAAGGACTGAAGATTACGTATTCGTCTTGGAGAGAAGGCTATGTTTACATCTTTTCAACATTTGGCTACAATGTGTTGCAGCACACCTTGGGCAAACAGATTCCAGCGCATCTCTAATGCATTTCAGATTCATTTACACATAGAATAAATAACTATACTTGACAAAAAACCAAATAATATATTCAGACATGAATCACATGAAGTAGACAAAAAAGATTTGCCTTAAGTGTAAATTGGTTCAATTCCTCAGCCCATTCCTCGGCCCCCTCCGATGAAAATCTTTAACCTTGTTAACATCCATATGATGTCGTTGATATAATACAAGACATATGATGAGTGAAATAATCAGTCAACACCAACACCATGACTGAGTGTTTCCACCTTGGAGCTGCAGTGAACCAATGACAATCTCATAAAAACAGATTCAGACAGCCAGGGTTTCATACGTCACAAACGTCAACGTCGTCGGGAAGGGGGGCGGGGCTAAACAAATCTGAAACCTTGTCAGTTCAGAGAGCTGGAGTTAGCATTAGCACAACCGCTAACACTGTGTCAGCCACTGCCAGTTTCAAGCCAACAAACAGCATAAACAAATAAAAGATGCTAACTATGCTAACTGATATGTCGGCTAGTCTCTGATTCTGGTCTCGACAGACTCCTCATCTGAGTCTGGGTCTGACTGAGGCTCAAACATGTGGCTGAGTCTCTCTGATGTTTCCTCCTCTAACCATCTTGATGCTCTCTGCTCTTTCACCTGTCAACCAGGAGCAAGTAGGTGGTGGGCGGGGCTCAAGACCTGATCCAGATTTCTCAATCAGGAAGTAACAGTAGATCAACTTGACACCCACTTTTTGATATTTTTCACTTTGTATGTGAGAAAATCATGTAACCCAAAATATTAATCATAGCAGAGGATATACAGAGGATTTACATGGTATAAAACATGTCTGGAGAGGAACTTTCAATCAGAAAAGTGTTGTGAGTGTCCCATGCTGAATGTGAAAACAAGCAATGTAAATAAATAATTTTTAAGCTGTATGTTGGAATAATTTGTTATTTTGTTACCTTAATTTTTAATGTGATTTAGCACGGCTCAACTGCTTTTTATTATTACAGTGCTACCTAGCAAGTTCCTGTTCCACTGGTAGTTCATAAAAAATGGGGAACACAATTGGCCATACAATCTTAGCTTTACTGGTTCCTGATGTTGTAACCTCCAGCTTGTACCAGTTACAGTAGATCCACAGCAACCGGTTGCTGGACATCAAACAGTCACATTGCTGTCAGATTTGAACAATCAGGCTGCTGACTGAATCCAGACTATGTCACATGTCTAACAGGGCACACAGAGTACTTCAAAGTGACTGCAGTTTTGACGCAGGGAGGGGTCGGCGAACAAAGTCGACACCTGATTAAATTGAACCTGAACCTGCCTTAAGGAATCCATGCCAAAACACTTCACCATCTGTCTCTGCTTAAAACACCTTCTGGTGACACATAGACAATGGTTTGCCCACACACACAGACACACAATGAGACACATTCTCCATGAGAGGGATGTGTGACTGATCGCCTGTCTGAGGTGGATCTTTTAGGTTAATGAGAGGAAATTATCCAAGTTGACAGGTTGTTTGGTGCCATTGCATAATGAATGGCTGTGTGTGTCTGTGTGTGTGTGAGCGTGTGTGTGTGTGAGTGTGAAAGAGAAGGAGCAAGGGAAATTTTGTTAGCAGAGATTCAGAAACATCAAAGATCATATAAAATGGGCTCACTTTCTCTTGAAGTGCCTCTTTTGCGGACACCTGAAACGACTGCTCGGCCGCGAACTAAGGGATGTTAAGGCAAAGAGTGAAAGTTCAGTAATAGGAAGAGTGAATAAGATGATTCAGCATTCAGACAAACAGAGTGCAGAAATGGTGACATGTTTGGATTTCAAGCACTGTGGACTCAATTAATCAGAAACTGAAAGAGATGACAGACGTAAACAAACAGTCAGCAGCGGGAGAACGAGATAGAATACGGGTGGAAAAGAAGTTCGTGAGCAGTCATCTCCAACAGTACGCCATTAAAATATATTTACTTTACTATTACTATGCCATCAATTCTTATAACAATGATGGATTAACCTATTGCCAAAGGAAAGACGTAAGCAGAACCTTCCACAGTCGTTGGTTGGATATTTCTGGGTAGTGACGTAAGCATAAAGACGGAGAAAAAATTAAAAAGCTGTATTTTTGACATTAAACATTGACACTGGGGCAGCTGTGGCTCAGGAGGTAGAGTGGGTCATCCACTAATTAGAAGGTCGGTGGTTCAATCCCCGGCTCCTCCGGGTCGCATATCGAAGGGCAAGATACTGAACCCCACATTGCCCCTGATGGCTGTTCCATCAGTGTATGAGTGTGATGTATGAATGTGAGTGAATGGGTGAATGTAGCGAGTATTTTAAAGCGCTTTGAGTGGTCAGTAAGACTAGAAAAATGCTATACAAGTGCAAGTCTATTTACCATTAACATAAATGACTGCTTTAAATGTGAAAGTGCCATTAAGGGCCAGGTCATACTAGAAAAGAAGTGGTTCCTATGTCGTGTTATCAGATTGTGTTGGAAATCAAAGGTGTTTACAGCTCTTCAGAACAGCCACAATTGAAGGCAGGGTGAAAAACTGGGTGACACAGAGAGGAGGGAGATGTGATATTATTTAAATGTGAGGATGACAGCACACACTTTCAGACAGTCTCTTCTGGGTGGGATCCAGTGTTGCTTTGGTTGTTTATGTGAAAAGTGTCAGAAATACAGGGAGAGAGAAGTTCAAACCCCAACTCCTTTCTCACCTCCACACAGCTGACTAATCACGGTGTGAGGAGGGTGTGAATGTCAGATTGTCTATTATCCGACATTGGAAAGGTGTGGTTTGGGGGTAGGGGGGTTGTTGTTTGGCTATTTGACTGTCTGACAAGTAGTTCTTAGAAACTTAGCAACTCTACACAGCTCTTAGCCTGTTTCAGCTCATTGCTTTGGAAATTTGATGGCTTAAATTTAATGGCTCTCATCAACTCCATGGACTGCAAATGGATGGATGCAGCCTTTGTGACATCACCCACAGGTTTCTGAAGAGTGGTTTTGAAGCTCACTGTGAACTGCTCCAGCGTCGCCATCTTGCCAGTGCCTGACTCCACCCCTAACTCCCGGCTAATCCAAAAATAGGCAAAGAGGAGGGGCGTGTGTGGAGCCGAGACTTTGGTGGATGCCAGTTTGTCGCAAGCATAGACTCACCCACCTGTCACTAAAAGTGACCACGCTCTCAATTATGCAGAACTTTAAGCGTTAATAAAATGTAAACAGGTGCGTTCTGCTGTAAAGTTGGACATTTTAACATGGGAGTCGATGGAGATTGACTCACTTTTGGAGCCAGCCTCTAGTGGTCATTGGAGGAACTGCAGTTTTTGACACTTTCAAGTTGGCTTCATTTTTCAGCCCTAGATGTTGCTGCCTGATCAACCCTCCTATATGACACTGTAGACAGCTGTTTTCAGCCAAAAAACTCAAGCAGAGTCTGCACT